GCATACTTTCATGCACACACTCATACATACCAACAAACAAAGGAATGAATATATTTCACGCTATGTGATAGATGTTAATGAGTCTGCTTAATGAATCTGCTGCCTAATCACTTTCCTTCTCACATATCAGTATAAGTTTCTTACGGAAAAATTACACACACTACATTTTCAGTCACCCATTTGGATAAACTCACACAAAAGTCAGAAGTACAAGAGCTCTGTTTGGTTGATTGGACAGCAACGGCCTTATCAGACCCTCAGAGAGGATTCTGGGTAAGGAGGATGGCAGATAGGGAAAGGGAGACACACAAGCAGAGGATGAATTACGCGTGGGACTGAAACATCCATCCTAATGATTTGTGGTGAAAAAAGGGGTTTTGATGTGGGCTGGCCGCCTGAAGATGTTTTGCCATTGTCAGTCCTAATTAATCTGTATGATGAGAGACAAGAGGGAGAGGAACTTTTGACAGCCCCTCTGTTTTTTCTCCACAACAACTCAAACACATACACACACAGAGATACAGTATATGCAGGCACGTATACACAACTAACACCTAAAGGTATTTTCACACATACACCTAAGCAAAAAGATATACAAGTAACATGCAAAACCTAAACCTTAACACTGTCCACAGCAGTACATAACTAACCTTCACTCTAACCAAAAAGAGAAGGTTTAAAAATTTAACAGCTTCTATCAAGAGCGGAGGCAACAATTACACAGTCACGCACATGTTTGCTAAGATGCTGAAGATGACAGCTTGCAGAACCAACTAAAGGCAGCAGCTTTATCCACCGTGCAGTAATCCTATGAACAATGGTGAGACAGAGGCAGATATTGGTAGAGAGGCAGTTAGAAAGGATTGAGAGAGGGGGAGGTTGAAACCTAGTGAAGTGTGTGGATAAAGAAAGACCTGACAAAGAAAAGTATTCCATTCTATGACAAGAAATGTGGTACAGGTGCACCACTTTATATATATATATATATATATATATATATATATATATATATATATATATACATATATATACACACATTGTGTGTGTGTGTGTGTGTGTGTGTGTGTGTGTGTGTGTGTGTGTGAACAATAGCTAGCTGTGTGTATGTGTAGTCGTAGTACATGTGATTTATCATTTATTCATTGCAGCCATCTCCCTTCCTCTCTGCCCACCAGAGCTTTTACTTCCTCTTGTATTTACTCTTTCCCTCACTCCCTCCATCTCAGTGCTCTTTCACAGGGAGCTGAGACCTTTCCGCCCTCCTCTCTCCACGTCTCTGGTGACCCTCATCCTCTCCTCCTTTACCTCCTCCCTCTGCCTTTTTGTTTCCATCCTTTATTCTGCAGTGACCTCTCTGCCCTGTTTCATTAAAGCTTGCCTTTCTTTCATCTATCCATCCCTCCATCTCCCAGAAGAGACTCAGTGTATCTCTCCTTCCATAAGTCCCTGTACACTCCCTTTTCCCCTCACTCAGCCGTAGGGTTGTTGTGGAAGATGCACACGCTGGATGTCAGGGGAGTACATATGTGTTTGTACAGTATATGTGTATGAGTAAGTGTGTGTGTGTTTGTGTTGGGATGTTCGAATACAGGAGGAGGGGAGGGTGGGTAGTTGTCTTTGCTCTCCTTGCCTCATCATGTGGCTCATTAACTCCAGATGCCAGACCCTATGCAGCTCCACCCCGATAATCCAACTCACACACACACACACGTATTCTCTCACACACAAAAACACAGTTAGGAGAGAGAATCTCAAAGTCTACTACACTATGACCTGCAGCGGTGGACACTTCAGAGACGGTGAGGAAAAAGAGCGTGAGAGAGACGAGAGGGGGAGGGGGGAATGAGAGAAGCATAGAAAAAGAAAGCCAAGAGGGTCTGCTTTGAACACATCAGAAGAGCAAAAAAAAAGTTCCTCCCTTGCTCCTTCCTTCAGCTCCTCCATTTTGCAAATTCTCCTCTCCTCTTCTTTCCTTTCCTCCCCTATCCTCTTCTTCCCTGCTCTCTTTTTGATTCTCCTCCCACTTCTCTCATCTCACCAGCCTGTGATCTATTGGTGCATGAAGCGCAGAAGAATACTATGGACGTGAAATGAGTGCTGAGTTGAGACCTGTGTGAAAGTGTGTGTGTGTGTGTGTGTGTGTGTGTGTGTGTGTGTGTGTGTGTGTGTGTGTGTGTGTGTGTGTGTGTGTGTGTATGTGTGTGTGCTGAAGGTGCACATATCTGAGTTAAGAACACAACACGATTTTACATCTCCATATAAAACTGCATTATGCGTAAGTACTACCTCTCTTGAAGGTGTTGTCAGCATTTTGCGACTACATTTGAAAACTCCTTCGCTCACCTTTCTCTCAATCCCTCTCTCTCTCTAATCTCTCTTTGTGCTCAGCAGACCTCCACTTGTCCTCGCACCCCTCTGCTCATCTCTTCTCTCTCTCCCTCTCTCTCTGCCCCCACATCTAATCTCTTTTTGTGAAAAATGAGCGATATAAATAAATCTGACTTGATTTGACACTACCTCAACCTCTAAATCGTGCTCCCTCCTTCCTCTTTAACTGCTCTCTCTCTCTCTCCTCTCCAGTGTGGAGCATGATTTCCGACAGCAGGAGGGACGCTTACAGGGGGTTATGGAGGCCCTGGAGGGGGAGTATGATGTGCCTGCACCCACTCTGACCAAGCCGACGCTAGCCCCTTCCTCCTCCAGCCGCCCCAGCACTAAGGCCCGTGTCAAGAAACTGCGGAAGAAGTGTTTCTGGTGGCTGTAAGCTTTGGAAAAACCTGCACCAAACTTTTTGGCCATATGATTATGTTTCAGGAGACCCCAAAGTAAGTTTTGGAATAAAGCATCTATCTCTTGGTCCTGTGGGTGCGTTTAAGTGCCATTCAAATCAGTGTGGGCATTTTCCAAGCTGCATTCCTGTAAATGGCACTTTTTCCACCTCGGCTCTAAAAATATACACCAGGGGACCAGGTAATGATCAAGAGAAAGAGGAAATGCACTAAAGGAGGAAAAGATGACCAAAGGAGCTGCTGAACTTTCCTCTCAGATCCGTCTAAGAGGGAGATCACCATGACCTCCCCTCTAAGGAAACCAGACTTCAGCAGCTAATTTGTGATTAACTTTTGACACAAAGTGAGGATATTGTTTTCCCATAACAATTCTGTAACAGAGAGATGAAGCATTGACACTTTGGATGACAGACAGGCGTACTGTTTGTCACTTGGCTGAGTGGCTGTCTAGACAGATGGGCAGATGTATGAATGAATTTTTATGCCAAGATGGATTCACGCCTACAGCTCAGAATGAATCTTCAAAGCAATTTTGGCAATAAGCAGGGAAACCCAAACTATTTTGAAAATCCAAGGAATTTAACAACTAATCGGAATACTGTGTCATTGGACGGCTCCACGGCCAAAAACTGAATGTAGCAACAACTGAAGAGCTAAGAGGATATGAGTGGAAAACAAGCTGATGAGCTCTCCGGAAACAAAGAGACAGCTCTCTGGATGGATATCAGGGTTTTGGAGAGCACAAAGGAGATTGTACTAAGAATACATTAGGAGACAATGTGATAGGCAGCTGACAGGCCGTGTCAGATAATTAAAAATTCTGTCACTGTTGTCTGACAGAATGATTGATTCTCTCCTTTATTAACATCCAAAATGGAAGTATTTTGTTGTAAGCTCAATCTTGTTTCAAGAATTTTCTCACACACACACACACACACACACACACACACACACACACACACGTGCATACAAATTCGCGTGCATACAAATTCATGCACAACATACAAATTCATGCACAACATACAGACACTGACACACACTCAGCATATTCACTGAAACAAGTACACACACACACGTGCATACAAATTCATGCACACACGCACACACGCACACGCACACACACACACACACACACACACACACACACACAGTACATACACTTGTGAACCAATGCAAACAAGGGGTAGACCAATTATCACTTCATAGTTAGTTATTGGCCTGTATTCATGTTTCAAAGACGTATCAATATTTGCTAAGTCTGAACTAATAAGACACCTATTAAAACAAATTGTGCAAATGAATGCTCTGTTTTCATGCAACATATGAAGAGACCAAAACCATCCGTTTCATGTGATTCAGCACCCACCAACTGAGTACATACAATAAGTTACCTAGTAAATCAAACACAAAAAACAAAACATGTCCAATCTTTTTAAGACATTATTCCCAAATGACAAACATCACCCTGTTCACATTAAATATACAGCAGATGATTATTACCATATCTAGCATTCATGCCACAATGCCGTTGCTAGTTGATTCATTAAGCTACAATAGAGCAACAAAAGTTGATAATAAAAACTTACACTGCAGGTCTACACATCTCATCAAAATGTACAAAAAAACCCAGTCAGATCAAGTTGTGCAATCCTATTTAAAAAAAGAATGTCTTCTTTGTAAAATCATAACACAATTGATAGAAAAAGATGGTATTTTATAACAAACTATATATTGGCAAACATGTCTTTCATCAGAATTAAATCTGTAAAAAATTATGTATGGGTCTATCCCTGTTGCAACCTCACCTACACCCTTACTTTGGCCACACATAAACACACACCATTTGAACCTGCGTAGTTCACAGCAGTTTGAGCTTAACCACTAATCTCTCAAGGGCCTACTTCAGCTGTTTCTGGGTGACAAGTTGCCACAAATTAGAATCCTGGATGACAACACTTATTAATTAAGAACACCACTCTGTGAGCCCCCACAATGACCCTCTCTTCCTGATCTTCCTCTTCTATGTACAATAAAAGTGTGTATTTTAAACAAAATGTGCTGTTGTTGACATACTTTGTTTCAGAATGAATTTGCATAGCAGATGAGAGCTAATGGAAGTTTGCCTTTCTTACAACTCCACTTTAAACAGAAGACAAACAGATGCATCTGTTTACAGAAAGTCAAGCATATATGGCGCTTGTATGTACTTACAATTAGGGCATGCTCTCGACCCATTGTGATGACTGTCCGGTTGATGATACTCAGGAGAGACACCACAATGTCCTGGATATGTTGAAATGTTTCCCCCTGTGAATAATGGATACAGAGCAAAGAAAAAGAAAGAGAATGGCAGAGAGGGATGGAGAGGAAAATTAGATAAGGAAACAAAAGATTGTACGACTTCCTCAGGTGAAAACACACACAAAAACACACATGGATACAGAACAGAGATTCGTTAGGTTTTGTTTGTGCAGCCATTCTCCCCTCTCATGAACTCTTCTCACTGTGAAGAAAACAAAGTTTTCACACACAGTCCAAAGCTTCAGTCGGGCTCCGAATGAATGGATGGCAGATCAAATGAAACAAGAAAGAGAATATAGTTCTGAAACAGAAACTTTTTAAAGTCCATTCACTTTTGGAAAACAAACCTCACCAGAACATTCGGTTAATCAACTTCAGTGTGGACATTTGAACCGCAAAAGGCTTTTGACACTTGGATGTGGATTTTTCTGTGCAGACCTGCTTTCCCATTCCTATCTTTTCCCTTCCCTTTGAAGCAACTGTTCTGGCAAGTTTCTTTTCCTCCATCTGCCCAGAGGGAAACAAAGGGGATGATCTAACAGTTTGTCTGTATTTGTACTCAGACCTATCCCATGTCAAATGACTGTTACCTGGTTAAAATATTATAATTATGGGCACACCGGTAGTGCACATACTGCACCTTACTGCAGCAGCCCAGGTTCGAGTCCAGCCCAGACCCTTTGCTGCGTGTCATCCTGCATGACAAATACATTTGACAAGTGTCAGACATTAAGACCAACACGTTAACTGTGGTGGAAAGTAAGTAAGTAATGCATTTGTCTGCCATTTTGGTTGTTTCACCTACTGAAAGTGAAAGGAAAATGTAGGCTGTGGATAATATTTTAAACTTTTGAAATGGTCGAGCCTTATAACTACCATAACTGTTTAGTAACAAAGATAAAAAACAGTTTCTTGAACCTTGGAGTATGTGACGTACATAATTTTTCTATCACCATCATCACAGTATATGCAATTTTATAGTATAATAGTATTTTTATATATATATATATATATATATATATATATATATATATTTTTTGTAACTCAATTTAAAACTAGGTGTTAGTTAGCAGTGGTGATGCCGACAAGCTCAAATATCGTGATATTTTAAATTAATTACCTCAGTATCAATATATGATAATATTTGGCGCTTTGGGTAACACTGCCAAAATATTTTTTTAATCTGAATATGATGACCCAACAAGAAAACGATAGGTAAATTCCAGATGATACTAGATCTTTTATCACAATATAAATAATATTTAGATTTATAAACCTGCTGTACTTAAACCTTTTTAAAAACTTTGATATTAATTTAACATTGAACCTGCAGAAACCTAATCAGAGAAGCCTTAAATAAGATAACAAATTTAACATTTTCAAATAAATACTGAAAATGGCTTTTAATGGCAAAAAGACCAAGAGATCGGGTATAGGGCAATGTTTGTAAAAAAAATAAAAATAAAAATAAAAAAGAGAAAAGAAGTCATCAATTGGTAAACTTTAAGTTAACAGAAATTAAGTCTAACTAATGACAAACATAAAAATGAACAGGGCAAACCCCTTTATCAAAAATAAGCATGTAAATCTAAAATATGTGCCTTTTCAGAGTCATAGCTCCATGCTCATTGGAAAACACACACACACACACACACACACACACACACCTACACCTACACACACACACACACACACACACACACACACACACACACACACACACCTACACACACCTACACACACACACACACACACACACACACACACACACGATGCTACAGTGTACCGGTCAATGGAAGCTGACTCAGACTTGCCTGGAGGCAGTAACTCACTAGTGAAGCATCTGCTACATCCAAACAAACCTTAGCATAACTGCTGCAAGGTGCATCTACGTGTGTGTGCGCACAACCTTGTTAGCATAATCTGACCCAAATACATGTGTATGTGTACTTTATGACTGTATGTCCTTGTATGAGCTGTTCAGCAAAGCATAAAAACGAAGAGGGAAGGTTCAAAAATAACATAAGTAGGTAAAAAGGACTCAAGTTCAAAAACTCAGGCACACCACTCTCTTTCTCATGTGGCTGTGCATATGCATATGCGTGTGGGTGTGTGTGTGTGTGTGTGTGTGTGTGTGTGTGTGTGTGTGTGTGTGTGTGTGTGCTGGCCTGATGGCAAATAATTTGAAGGGCCTGATGAGAATCAGGTAGGCCAGATTAAACCACATTAAATGCACTGATTTACAGCCACAGGACACAGAAAAAATAAATAACCCTAAGTGTGTGTGTTATCTTGCATACCATTTCCATTTCAGACTACTTCAAACTCTCACACACACACACACACACACACACACACACACACACACGACACAGACACAGACACAGACACAGACACAGACACAGACACACACACACACACACACACACACAGACACAGACACAGACACAGACACAGACACAGACACACACACACACACACACACACACACACACACACACACACACACACACGCATAGTTAGGTTGAGGCGCAGCTGTTGATCCTAAATAAGCCTAAATCATTCTGGCTCACTGTAGGTATTTCGGTCTCCTGGAAAGAGTTCCTCAGACAGTCTTCTCAGAGCAGGAAGACGAGAGATGAGACACAATGCTCTCACTCTCTCCTGCAGAACACAAACACGTGGAAGGCGATACTCCGCTCATTTTATTCAGACTGTAGCCAGACTGGTTTATCATCTCCACTGGCAACATGATAAAAAAAAGAAAAACAGAAAACACTGATTTGAGGATAGGGGAAAGAAAAAAGCGAGAAAGCTCTGGCGAGCCATGTCTCTCTCTGTTAGTATCCTCCCTTTATCGCACACATGCACACGGTTGCATACACACTCAAAAGTTACTTGTAAATTAAACATGAACTCTCCCACAGACATGAGCATCTGTCTATTGTTTGGTCTTCTCTTCCATCTTCGCTCTCTCGTTCTGCATGTCTTTCGAGTTCGGAGACATCTGTGGTGTGACAACTTAATCAGGTACCACCCAGAGCGAGGAAAAGAGATGGGTGAAAAACAAAGGAGAGAAAATAAGAAGTGGAGAGCGAGGAGGTGAGACCGTCTCCCATCACCTCTTCCTCCTCTAATTCTGTTGTTTTTCTCTCCATCTGTTTCCTCTCTCCCTTCATCCAATTTCAGACTGTCATCTCTCTAGCATCCTGTATTGTTTTCTTGTAAAATCCCACCACCTTATTGTCCATGAAACAAACATTTGAATCGCTGCCTGTTTAGCTATTAATTCTCTTTCCTGCTTTCCTGTTCACTGTTTGGCATCCTCCCTGCATGGCCATAAGCAGTTTTCATTTCTCTGGCCTTTTCTGCTCTGGTTCATTTTTTCCCCTGACAATTTAAAAAAACTAATCCTTCACAGTTTGCTTTTTCAGCCAAATAACACGTGTGTGTGTGTGTGTGTGTGTGTGTGTGATGGAGGCTTTTCATTGACAAACAACAGTGTCTGGGTTTTACAAAAAGCTGTGCAGCATAAAGGAACCATGTAGAGGTGTTGCGGTCAAGGTTTTATTTAATTATACTATGTGTCGTCTAGCAACACACATAGACTAGGCGATGTAGGTAAGTGTTTGTGTGCATTTGTGTGTGTTTTTCTTTGACAGCATCTGTTTGTACTTGATTAAGTACAGTTATATTCAGAACAAAATATCAGAGCCGGTACTCAGTGCAAGGACCAAATGGCAATATATTGTGTGTAGATTTCTATAGAGAATACTGACACCTATAAGTCATCCAATAGCAGACTTTTGCCCTCATGTAGTTTGACAGAAAACTTGTATGAGGCTGTGCATCGCTGGTTTTATAGTTTGTACATGATTGTATTTGTACCTGTCATGTCCCTTTGACACTCTCCCACCCCCTGCTTTCACTTTTATACCTCAATTGACGCAAATTCATCTAATCAAATTCACTCCTCTCCATTCATTACTTCTCTCTCTTCTCTTGGCTCATGCTTCATTAGTGTAATCCAAATAAATAGAGCTGGAAAAAAAGCCATACCTTCACTTCAAAGACTCAGCAGGCTGTCAACAACTTGCGGGAGCAATTAAAAAGCCCACGGCTGGATACTGGTGATGTATTTGTTCTGTGTGTGTGTGTGTGTGTGTGTGTGTGTGTGTGTGTGTGTGTGTGTATTAAGGGTGTTTAGTTCAGGAGCTAACTGGATTTTGTTTCAACAGGCTAACATGCAGCAACATGCGTGAAACAAAATCAATTTGATTCTAATTGGTCAAGGCCTGCTTCATTGCACGACTGAATGACTTAAGACAAAACAGCTTAAGGCTATTTACTTTACTCTTTAGCAGACGAGTTTCACTGTGGTGGACAGAGCTCAGTGGTAGTTCAAATTCATCCAGTGATGCTAAAAAGATAAAGAAAATGTCTTCTAATTTATGGGCTGGATAATCTTTACCCTAACATTTTACAAATAATACTTTATAAGAAGGTGGTATTGTGTAGTTTCAGTTTCAGCAAACAGTTCAGTCACTCATCGGTTTCTGCAGATTGGTTTGCCTCAGCTGTAAGCATCTAGTGTTATTAACTTTTCTCATTTCTAATTTTACCAGACCTGTTCATCTTTTTATGTATGCAAATTGTCTAGATTGAAGTCTAAACTGGTGTCGTTTCTGCTCATTCCTGGCATCAGGATGGGTGGGTGCACCTCAAGTGGCCACTTCGGCTCTGATTTAGTTTCCCACTGACATTTCATTATATCTGTGGAAATTGCAACCATACAGTACAGCCACACAAGTACTGTGGGAAGATATTGGGAGGAATATCTGCATAGTAGGTAGAACTACACAGAAAACCTCAAAATGAAAGAAATTAGGTGTAGCGAAAGAAAGAAAAAGTCCTTGCAGTCAAAAATATAAATGATAACACTATGCTCAATGCAATTGTACCCTACCCATATCCAGATGTGGCCTAAGCAATCAGATCTCAACATGTTCTCCGTGCATTTTGGATGTGAACACTATCTACTTTGAAACAATCGCCCAGAATTCAGTTTAAAGTGTGAATAAGGGATTATGTGTTCTTTACTGCAAAAATTGCTGTGTGTCTCACCACATTGTCCCTGCTGAGGACCTCCAGAATGTTGTTGAGCAGCTCCAGACTATTTCTCCTCTCATCATGAGGGCCATCAGCCATACTGGCCAGTGCCCCGCTCAGCTCCCGCAGCATCATGGGTAACAGCACATCACGGCACTCTGTAAAGAAACAAAAACCACGCATGGTGATAGGTTTAATAAGCAGAAACAGGATAATAAACACACACACTCCATGTCAGAAAAACTGGATAGTGTGAGACAAGACTGAGGCATGATTGATTTTATTTACTTCTTTCAGGTAATGCCCTCAAAGATAAGAATGAACATGTTTAAACACAGACATCAAAAGTCACTACATCAAGATTTACTTTAATGGGATTTCTCTCTGAAAAACCCTTCAAAACCTAAACTCTGGACTCTTACATCAATTGGTGCAGCACCTGTGGAGACAGCTGTGCCCACACAGCTATGAGTAATGATGCCGCTGCACCCTGAAGATGAAATTCAACCCTAACCCCAGACTGCACAATGGAGTGATATCAATCAAGTGTCTATTTACAGTTCCATGCATGTCTACTACTCTGTCAGCCACACAGTCAACACATCAATCACCATGGCCTAACGTTTTCTCTTTTCCATCTCTCTGATTAATCCTAATCTTTGGTTAATTTGAGTGTTAATTTGGTCACACATGCAATGCATCATCAGTAATTACATCCATAAAAGACTGTGTCAATGTGAACTTACTGTACATGAAGGCATCGGTTATATTTTTATATTAGTAACACCTGGTGCTTAACCACTCTCTAAATTCTTTATGGATGTTACACGGTCACAGCTCTTCTCTGGGGGGTTGCACAAAGTCATTCTAGGAATTACAGGAAATCACTGGGGGAATTAAGTAGCAAAAGTACTGTCGTGGAAAGTGAAGTAAAGGAGGATCTGAGTAAAAGGGATGTGTGTGAGACTTTAGGACCTTTTCTAAAGCAGTGAACATCACAATTTCTTGTAATCTGCAAGCTAACAATATTCAAGGGTGCATTTTTTCCTTTACTTTGTCTTAAGCTTTCAAACTGAGGAATGTGTTTATTTGATCAATTGAACAATATCCTTAATGCACCGACAACGAAGACAGTCCTTGCTCTCGGCTGCAAAAAACAATGTTACTTCAAACTTAATATGCAGGGCTAAACCTTTTATCTGCTTAGCAAAACAGTTGACGTTTTTCCAGAAAATGTCTTTTTTAAACTTTTCACTTTATTCAGAGTTTGTTGACACAAAACCAGGCTTTTAAAACTACACATTGTATTGAGGAAAAAAGCACTGGTGTTTGATGATTTAATGTTGGGACTAGCAGTTTGATTAGACACGCTCTGGAAGATAATTCAACTGCTTTTTAGGGATGCCATGCTACGAAAATTCTCCACAGAAGCAGTAAATTGATTAAAATAGACACCATCACAGACAAATTATTTACCTCAAGGTCAGATATAAATTATGTACTATGCAGATGTAAATATGCATGGTATAAGAGAACTGTAAATGCAATGTAACCATCCTCCCCACCTTCACTTCCTCCACCCCATCCCTCTCTTGTAGCCGCAGGTAGACGGAGCCCATTAAAAGCTCATCTGGGCTGATGCTCGTTAGTTCCATTATTAACTGAGCCAAGCCTGCACGCCTGCTGAGTGGACCCTCATCACAACACTCACTCCATCACACAAACATGCAGAGAGGGAGAAAAACGCATGAGTCACTGAATGCCCTCTATGACTCAGAGAAATGGAAGGAGGACAAGGAGGAGGGGCCTGGGCAGGTGGAGGAAATCCAACTGGAGGAGGGGGAGGTTTAAGCGAGACACTAGGAAAGAACAAAAGTAGCATCTCAGTCTATTTGACATGATAGATTGTACACATGATGTACAAGTTGAAATAAAAATGTCCCTTTGTCAGAATTAAAGAACATGAAGCAGGGAGGTTTCCTGGTCTGTGCCCTTTAAAAAGATAGAGGATGGTGTTTTAGATGCCGCCTGCTTTGTATTTGAATAACCATGCTAAATCTGTTTAATCCATCAAAGGAGAAACTCATCATCTTTTGTCCTTTCAGATAGAGAAAACAATGAGCGTTTTATAGCAGTATTGTTGTGTGTGCAAGCTGGAGAATTAATCCATCTGCCTTCCGGAGGCTGGATGTAGCATTAAACCTGTGGAGAACTCCATTCCCTGGTGAAATGACCCCAAAGCCACCTGCCTCTTTATTTCTATTGATCTGAGAAATAAACCCAGCTGATATTTTTAGGTGCAACATGTTCAGGGGAAGTAAAATAGAGAGCAGGTGGGGGGAATTGAAAGGGTAACCTGTTGTGTGATACGTTGTGTGCTTTTTGTTTTTACTGTGTCAGGAGCCAGGCGAAATGAAAAAATAACCTCAATTGCGAGTTTCAAGGTCTATGTGTACCCTGAACCTATGTAAATGTACAGGAAGATGAAATTTACTAAACAGTTATATTTACTGAAGCTCCATGCATACTGCAGTTTGGTACAGCTATAAAATTAACATTAAAGCACACAAATACTACTAGACAGACATCTCCAGCAAGGCTTTTTACATTAGAAGATTTCTGGTTTTTGTATACAAAATTTCCATCTCAGCTAACACTGCACAATGGATTGCTGCCTTGGTTGAAAAAAAATCAGGAAGAGAATATAAAATAATAGAAAAAGTTAGAGATGGAGCATAATAGGGACAAAAAATCTCCAAACAGAAATTGGAACTTAATTTTATTTCCCATTTCATCGTGGTTATTTTCTAAACAGAAAGAACAGTTTCAGGAAAAATCAGGTAGCAGGCAACTGCTGGTCGTCCTTTTTACAGGGCCTGCTGACACTGGGAGAATTTGAATAGTTTGGAGAAACAACCTGTCTCATGCTTTTTGAACTCCTTCTGTATAATCTGTGCTCCTCTGGGAGCTTCTGTTTGCAGAGTAAAACACACTTTAGTTCACACAGCAGCTGCCTCTCATCTTAAAATTCAGAAAACTTATAGAAACCATAAACAACCTAATAGCTTACTCATCTCCACTATCCTACTTTGACAGTCTGTCAGGGTGTGTATAGTGTGTTTTGATTTTACGTAGGCTCGCCTTCCCTTTAAAATCCTTCTGGAGCTCCTGAATATGAGCATCAATAATGATGAAGCACGGGCTGCCTTGATAATGCTCCTCCAGACTCTGAGGCTGATAGTCTTCAGTCACTGATGCGGAACAGCGCCTTTAACTTTGCAGATATTTTACAGCGCCTTGCCTGGCCTGGAATAACATCAGGAATGCTAATATCTGCTGCTTCAGCCAGAATGGTAGCTTTCTCAGTGACTTCTTTGAACTGCACCGTGGTCCTCTGGGCTTTCATTCTTGTAAGAACTCCAGCTACAATGGTGTGCAGTTCCCAGGTTTAGGTCATTCTTTAAGAGGGCGTTTGAAATTATTGCCATTTCAAGTAACATTTGTGCTTGAGTGCTGCACTGTGGTTGACCATACACACTCTCTGTGAAGAAATATGCATTCTTACCAGTGGAGGAATATGAAAAATAACTTCCTTCCACTAATGAGTAAGTTCTCTTGTTTTCGAAAAACAAATGATAACTCCTCACAGTGGTTCACATCAGTGGTCCAATCAAACATGATGGATGCCTCCTGCATTTCTTCTTAGACTACTTTAAAACTATGCAAGAGCACATACAGAGAGGTGAGCCACCTGAGGTAATTTAAGTGGGATTTTATTTCTTGACTGAGTCAAAATAGGCCTTAAGAGTACTATTGTATTGGCTGAGCTGTTTAACTATCTGTACAAATTTGCCCTCATTTGAGCTAGAGGGACTTGTACAGTCACTTTGAAAAGCAGTTGTTCACTGACAAAATGATTTTTTTTTGGAATTGATTCCCTCGGCACAAATGCTAGATCTATTGGGTCCCTAAATGCAAAAAGCTTGCAAATGTAGCTTCCTCGAACAATCTGCAGCTTCTGCCAGCATATCCTCTTATCCGTCCTGGTGGCTGCTTCCCTTTTGTGTGTGTTTAACTTTATTCATTTGTTATTTCTATTCTTTGGGTTCCCTTCTGTATGTATAAACCAGTCTCTGTCTTCTCCATCTCAGTCTTTTGTTTGTTGTTTTTCCATTTTTCTCTCTGCTGAACCCCTCCGTGTATGACATCAACTTACTATTCAGTCCATCATAATACTGCCTTTAGGTAAAATTCATTTCACCACAACCTTTCAGTAACATAGTAGTTTTATACCTATTAAGTGATCCTACCAATCACCAGTTCTGTGTTGTCGCAAGCTTCTCCTCAAGCTTCTGTCTTTTCAGTGAGTATAGAACAGCACTCGTGTGCTATGTGCTCTAGATCTGCTCTAGCTTGAGTCTCTAAGACAGAACTTCCTTTCGGGCTGCATACAAATCCGGCATCCCTTGCTGAGATTGGCATAGTCTAACCCCAGTCATGGCCCTAATCCTATAACCATTTTGCCAAGGTCTGTTTGGTGGAGCTTGCTAGCAGCGACTTTGTAACAAAGTAGACTTAAAAAGAGTGCCTGAGAGGCTCAACTAAACGGGAGTGTGTGTGCGTGTGTGTGTGTGTGTGTGTGTGTGTGTGTGTGTGTGTGTGTGTTTTGTGGAACTGTGCAACAGAGAAAGTGAAAAAAGGAGAGAGAGAAGGCATTTGAACTGATGTAGCTGTTGTTTTTTACTCACATACAACACGACATATGAAAAATAAAATTGATAAGCTATTTGTTAATGGAAAAGGTACTATTTGACACATACACACACTATTGTGACTAAAATTACTATTTTAGCTCTTTCTATGTACACCTGTGTTTCTATGTTGCACTTGCCTGTTAGTTGTATGTTAAGTGTTTTAGCCCAGGGTGCAACAATGCAGTAAATCAATTCAGCCATACTTTGGAAGAAATCTGTGGCAACAGGCACCGACAGACAAATGGAAATCGAGGTCTTGGGGCAAACATTGCGATGCATTTGAACTTTTTCTCATCTAGCTTTCACCGTGTGCAGATATACACACTTGTTCAAAGAAACAGAAATACACACAGGTGCTCACGCACACACACAACATATTCAAAACGCACACCAACAGAGCTTCA